ATTTTAATACTTTATTATCCTTTATCAGCAATTTACATGTGAAATTGTTTTATGGTTTGTTTTATATGCTACACACAAATCTTAAAGGGTTACTCAAACCCAAGGCCAGACTGGGAAAAAAAACGTTTTTAATCACAGCAGCCCACTAAAAAGGGGGTGGGGCAGAAAGTGTGTGTATTGTCATCATCAATGACAAATACACCTGTGGCAAACCTAGCCACTTGGGACTGCCTAAGATAGAATGGTTGTGCCTATTTTCTGTTGTGTACTGCGCGCCGGTATAGTGTGGCGTCTCCGGCTATGTTTAATTTATGCTGTACTGTGTATGTCTGTTCGAATCCTCCCCATTCGTTAGCATTGCTATTAAAACTGACTAAGTTGTATATTTTGAAGTAGAAAGGTAACGGTTTATGTCCTCGTAGTTTTCATTACTGTATGTTACAGCAGGGGCTGTTGGGAGGAGGACCTGGAAACGGTAGTCTCCCTCCAGTCCCCTCAACAAAAACCCCTGCTGCCCATCTTTGGAAACCCCTGTTGAGTGACCTGCTTTAAATATCAGTTATTTTTAATAAAGTGACAGTTGAGTGACCTGCTTTAAATATCAGTCTTTTTGAATAAAGTGGCAGTTGACTCTCAGACTGTGTTTCGTCTGGTTCTTGGGAGGATTTGGGAATATTGCCTGCTTCCAGCTTTGTACTTGGTTATTGCATTCTACCAGCAGAGATCCTGGGATTATAAAATTGCAGCTCCGCAACAATTGGTGGCAGCGGTGGGATCGGCTAAGTCTCCAGGAGCGTGCCCAGGTACAGGAGTTGATTGCGGCAAAAGGTGCTACCTTCTCCAATTTACCAGGGTACACTCTGTTAGCTACCCACCGAGTAGAGACCCCAGGACAGCTCCCTATGAGACAGACTCCGTATCGTATCCCTGAAGCAGTAAGGGAGCACATGAGGAAATGTTGCAGTTAGGGGTTATCGAACATTCAGATAGCCCCTGGGCATCACCGGTAGTGCTAGTACCCAAGAAGGATGGCACCACGCGGTTTTGTGTAGACTACCGGAGGCTCAATGACAAAACAGTGTCTGACGCCTACCCGATGCCCCGTATAGACAAGCTGCTAGATAGGATGGCAAGAGGCTAGTATCTCACTACCATTGATCTGTGTAAGGGATACTGGCAGATTCCACTAGCCGAGGAGGCCATCCCCAAGTCGGCGTTTGTCACCCCGTTTGGCCTGTATCAATTTCGGGTCATGCTTTTCGGGATGAAAAACGCTCCGGCTACCTTTCAGAGGATGGTAGATCGGCTACTGGACGGGTTCCAAGAGTACACCTGTGCGTACTTAGATGATATAGCCATTTATAGCCAGACCTGGGCAGATCATTTGAAACATATTAGTGTGGTCATTGACCGTATTGGAGAGGCAGGGCTGACACTAAAACCTAGCAAGTGTCACATAGGGATGGCAGAGGTGCAGTACCTGGGTCACAGGGTAGGATGCGGACAGCAGAGGCCCGAAACCGGCCAAGATAGAGGCAGTAGCTAAGTGGCCTACCCCAGGACAAAGACACAAGTATTGGCGTTCCTTGGTACCGCTGGTTACTACAGAAAATTTGTGCCCAATTACAGCGCCCTGGCCAAACCCCTGACGGACTTGACCAAGAAAAACTTGCCACGACAGGTCAACTGGGCCCCAGAGTGTGAACAGGCATTCCATGAACTAAAAACTGCATTAACTAAGGCTCCTGTGTTAACTGCCCCTGATCCAACTAAACGATTTCTTGTTCACACAGACGCTTCCATGTTTGGATTGGGGGCAGTACTGAGCCAAGTGGGAGCTGATGGCGGAGAACATCCCGTAGCTTACTTAAGCAGAAAATTACTACCAAGGGAAGTAGGCTACGCCGCCATCGAGAAGGAATGCCTGGCCGTGGTGTGGGCCCTCAAAAAGTTACAACCTTATTTGTATGGACAACCATTCTCCTTGCTCACAGATCACAACCCGTTGGTGTGGCTACACAGGGTGTCAGGAGACAATGCCCGGCTGTTGCGCTGGAGTTTGGCGCTGCAGCCGTTTGATTTCACGATCCATTATCGCCCTGGAAAACAGAATGGTAACGCCGATGGGTTGTCCAGACAGACAGAACTTGAGAAATGATCTGTGAGCACTCCCCCGGACATCCCCAAGCCGATCCGTTGGGATCAGACTGTGTATGCCGGCTTGGTTTTGGGGAGCATTGTGGCAAACCTAGCCACTTGGGACTGCCTAAGATAGAATGGTTGTGCCTATTTTCTGTTGTGTACTGCGCGCCGGTATAGTGTGGCGTCTCCGGCTATGTTTAATTTATGCTGTACTGTGTATGTCTGTTCGAATCCTCCCCATTCGTTAGCATTGCTATTAAAACTGACTAAGTTGTATATTTTGAAGTAGAAAGGTAACGGTTTATGTCCTCGTGGTTTTCATTACTGTATGTTACAGCAGGGGCTGTTGGGAGGAGGACCTGGAAACGGTAGTCTCCCTCCAGTCCCCTCAACCAAAACCCCTGCTGCCCATCTTTGGAAACCCCTGTTGAGTGACCTGCTTTAAATATCAGTTATTTTAATAAAGTGACAGTTGAGTGACCTGCTTTAAATATCAGTCTTTTTGAATAAAGTGGCAGTTGACTCTCAGACTGTGTTTCGTCTGGTTCTTGGGAGGATTTGGGAATATTGCCTACTTCCAGCTTTGTACTTATTGCATTCTACCAGCAGAGATCCTGGGATTATAAAATTGCAGCTCTGCAACAACACCCCATCACAAAGTGATGTAGTGTTTGTAGAGAGTGTGTGTGTATAGGGGATACAGAGTGTGTATGTCAGGAATGTGTGTGTGTGTATAGGAGTCTAGTGTGTGTTTGAAGGACCCAGAATGTGTGTAGGAGATCTAGTGGGTGTGTGTATTTGGGGATCTAGTGTGTGTGTGTAGATGATCCAGAGTTGGTTAAGGGATCTAGTGTGTGTCTGGAATGTAATGTGTTTAGGGGTACAGTGTGTGTGAGGGGTAATGTAAATATGTAGGGAGTGTGTGAGGGGTGTATCTCTCTCTATGTTAGGAGGGATTGTGTGTTGAGGGGGGGGTAGGGGAGGACAAAAAAAAAAGGCATTATAGCTCCCTTCTTACCTTTAGCCTGGGAAGGGGGGACCGTGCCATCCCTGGTGGTGCAACGCTCAATTTCACAATAGCAACCTTGTGGAGCTGCAAGATACAGCTCTGTCGGATCCTCTCCCTCTCCCTCCCTCCTCCAGCCGGCAGCTGCTTATTAGTTATAGTGTGCCGGCCTCTCATGGAATGCAGCAGGGCCAGCGTTCGGATAGCGCGGGCTCTGCATGGACCAGCAGGGGAGATCCTGCAATCTTCCCTGCCGGCCTCGGCCCATGGCCATCACTGACCACCGGGCATTTGCCTGATGGCCAGTCCAGGCCTGCTCTAACCAAAAAAGTGTTTTAACAAAACAATGTTTCTGATTAGAGAAACCATTCCTATGTTTCTCCACACTCACCCAAGAAAGCATAAACTTACCTCGTTCCATCAATGCCCTGTTCTCCTCTCAGCCCAATCCTCCTTTGCTGAAGTCTATCTCTTTAGATACTGGGGAAGTGACATCATGGAGGGCAGTCTGAGGGGATGACATGGACGTCATTTTGCGTGCTGACATCAGATGTGAAATATGCACAGAATTTATATTGCCATCCAGAACTATTGTTCCTGTCTGGCTGATGATGCCCCAATGATGCGGTTGGATTTGAAGTTACACCTGTGGCAGCAGAGGGGTTAAACTCAGTATGTGCAGCATTTCACAGTGAAACTCCACACATACAGACTCCAGGCACCAAGACCACTTCAAATCACAAAAGTCGTCATGGTGTTTGAAGTAAACCTATTAAGCATTTTGTTCATAGGATTTCCATATCCTCTGTTTTTCTGGACATAATGCATAAATATTTTGGTTGTTTGAATATTTTCTTTCAGCTGCGTGGCATTTTTCCTGTTTGCTTCCTCCCTGATAGTTTTGTCCTGTACCCATTTTTGTCATTTTAAACGGCGGTGCTATGGATATATTAAAAAAAAAAAAAAAAAATCCTTTAGATTTCAAATATGTCTCCCCCCCTCCCCGTTCAAAATATTACATATTTGTCTTATTTTGTAAATGTAATCAAAGGCATCGCTCCGAACATCTTTGGAAGGGGGAGCATGTCCGCTACACACACTGCTAGGGAGAGGTATTAGCTAGATAGCTGAAGGCATTACTTTGTTGTGGATATTTGTTTTTGTTTTTTTGTTTGTTAGTTTTTTCTTTTGCCACAGTTGCGGTGTGTTAAAAAAGTTGTTGGTAGTATGAAGTGGTCACTTAAAGGACCACTATAGGCACCCAGACCACTTCAGCTTAATGATGTGGTCTGGGTGCTTTGTCCAGCTAGGGTTAACCCCCTTTTTTTTTTATAAACATAGCAGTTTCAGAGAAACTGCTATGTTTATAAATAGGTTCATCCAGCCTCTAAAGCCTCTAGTGGCTGTCTCATTGACAGCCGCTAGAGGCGCTTGCATGCTTCTCACTGTGAAAATCACAGTGAGAAGAAACAAGCGTCCGTAGGAAAGCATTATGAGTGCTTTCCTATGAGACTGGCTGAATGCGTGCGCAGCTTCTGCCGCGCATGCGCATTCAGCCGAAGAGGCGGAGAGGAGGAGGAGAGCTCCCCGCCCGGTGCTGGAGAAAGAGGTAAGTTTAACCCCATCCTCTCGCCAGTGCCCGGCGGGAGGGGGTCCCTGAGGGTGGGGGCACCCTCAGGGCACTATAGTACCAGGAAAACAAGTATGTTTTCCTGGCACTATAGTGGTCCTTTAAGCCTGAATTTGTGGGAGGAATTATGGCCCCTACTTAAACTCCTAGCCCCTACTCACCTCTGCCATTTGAGCTGATTGACCTCACCCACCTATATATTACATTTCACCTTTGTGGGCCCTCTTTTTATTATAGGCGCTATAGTGGTCCTTTAAAGTGCTTCGAATTGCCAAGAAAACGACATGCACAGGAATCCGAGCTCAGCCTGGTTTAAGATGCACAGCTTTCTCTTATATATTGTAATAATGATAAAATATTACTAATGAATGTTTTGTTAATTTTTTTTCTGTATCAAAACGTATGTAAATGCTGTTACAAAATGCCTGTCCTGATGTATTGGACGCGTGTTTCACCTCATGACTCTTTCTTTATTCTGTAATTTTTCTACTTGCAAAAATAAACAATTGGAAAATTGAGATAAAAGATTTCATAGAAAAAAAACTTATTTGTAAATGAGAGACTGCATAGCCCTGCCTTGCCATGTGTTAGAACTTCCTTATACTTTTTTCAAACTTGTTGATGCACCAGATAATTTATTTGCAGCCATTTAATTTATAAATATGATGGGTGGAGTGTTAAAACACTATTTACACTAATTATTCTACTAGCACTATAATTAATCTACGCTCGTTTATGTGAATGAGTCCATATCTTATATTGCTTCTTCTTAAAGCATATCTCACAAGTGTCCCTATTTAGGAGGTACAGCCCCTATTTTTGGCACAAATCCCTGTGTTCCTCTTTTCTAGGAGCTCCATCTTGTTGGGGAGTCTGAGTATATAACCGAGCTCCACAGTAATAATACTCCCAGTAATGTGTCTGAGTATATATCAGAGCTCCACAGTAATAATACTCCCAGTAATGTGTCTGAGTATATAACCGAGCTCCACAGTAATAATACTCCCAGTAATGTTTTTAAACTACAATAAATGTGTTTAGAAATTATTCTGTAAATAAGGCAAATCAGCACACAAAAGAAATTGTGCAAACAATCGTAAGCCAAATCCACAGGTGCAGTTACTGTGGGATTTATTCACTAATCTCTCTGAATTGTTGTGAATTGAAAACTAAATTTCAAGACTGGCTCAAATATAACTGATGTGGAAGTAAACATTTCAGCCTGGCTATAGTCACAGCTTGGACTGTTTCAGTCTGCATTTTGCTGCTCTGATTTTAATTCACTCCCGTTTGGTGATTAGTTAATGCGACTCTCTTGTCAGCCAAACATGCTTCAACGTTTTCTTGGATATCGACAGAATGCAAAATATCTGATTTTAGAGAATTTTTCTATTTTAGCCGAAAATTAGCATTTCCCACTCTAGTGAATAAACCGCTCTGTGGTTT